GTAATTAAATTACCATCTTCAGAAGACACCTACATATTGAAAGGTTTTCTTGTAAGCTATCGAATTTATCTTTGCTATTAACGAGAGTATTTTGAATAGTGTGTGTAATTTTAAATGTTAAATTTATGTTATATTTTTTAAAGAGTTTTTTCAATTTGTGTGATATTGTAACTAGGTAAGTTATTGTTTTGAATTTATCTGGTTTGTCAATATCTATTGTCGTTTCTAATGATGATATTTGTGTTAAATTCATTTTACAATGTTTCTTGTCTATCAATTTTTGTACTCTATTTTCGGGGTAATTATTATTTTTTGCTATTATTTGTATTATCGATGAATTAAATGCTCGGTGTATATATGATCTTAAGGCTGCTAATTTTTGTGTGTAATCGTGGTATGAATCATGCGGAATAATTTTGCTGTTCTATGTCGGTTTTCGATAAATATCGAAAGCGATCTTACCCTTCTCTCTAATCAGAGTAAAGTCCAAAAAGTTTAGCTTGTTGTCGTTTTCCATTTCTAATGTAAATGTAATATTTTTATGAAGGTTATTAATATATTTGTACAGATCATCAATCATTTTTAAATCATTCTGCCTTTTTGTAACTAGAACGTCATCAACATAACGTAACCCTGTGATTATATTTTCATATTGTGGATTTATTGGATTTATAATAAGATATTCTTCCAATTTATTTAAAAATATGTCTGAGATAAGTCCACTGAGTGGTGATCCCATTGGGAGACCGTCATTAAATTCATATACCTATCCTGTTATCAAATTTACAAAAGTTTTGTTCAGTACAGATTTTGAATAATTTAAGGATATTGTCAATATCATTTTTATTATCCATTCTATTTTTTAAAAATTCCTTTATAATATTTAAAGATTCTTTTACGGGTATATTTGTGTACAAGTTTGTAACATCAAATGCAATGATTAATGATGATTCCTTCTGTATAGCAGATTTTTTAAGTAGTTCTATTACGTTTTGTCTATTGTTGAGATACTAAATTTTGGTAAATTTTGATAAAACTAGACCTGCTAGTAATAATGAATTAAATAAGGAATTTTCTATTTTAACGTGTAAACCTTTTATATAAACCGGTTAAGATAAAGATAAATAAAAGATATCACTTTGTATATGGTCATTTTATTGTCTAAATAATTAAGTAGTGATAATGGACGAAAACATAATTAAATTAAGAATAGTAACACAGAAATAGAGCAGTATCTGTATATGATTTTAACTACGAGGATTTGTTTTTATTATAAGGATAATTTCGCAGGAAACTAACACACTCCTCATGGATTAATTATGTTTATTCAAACATGTTTAATCGACGTTTCGGGCTATTACAAGGATCATCATCAGGATTTTAATATAAATCTAAAAGAACAATTACAATGTTAAGCAAAAAACAACAACGAAACATTTAGAAATAATACATTTTAAATATTATAAATTAATAATATTAATAATAAATAACATTTTTTTATATTCTACACTTATAATCAGAATATACAGGCTGTCTCCGAAATGCGTGTACAACGGAAGACCACAGATTCCTTGGCTCAAAATAGGTCGATTTAAGTTAAGTTATCTATATCCAAAGTTGCTTCGTTTTGCCGCTAGAGAACTTCAAAGTTAGCAAAAAAAAATTCTTTTATTTTTTATAACTCCAAAACGCTTAAATCAATTGAAACCATTATTCAGAAGTGAGTTCCTAGGTTCAATTAACGTATTTTTATGGATTTTGATACAATTTTAGAAACACAGGAATGATGGAAAAGTGATGTGATCACCGGATATTACACCAATTTTTTTTTCTGGCCAGGCGACAATTAGATTATTATAATTTCTGAATAGCTCATTCAGTTCTAAACCGTTTTTGTCTCTTATTGATAATGCATGTGTTATTGCAATAATAAAACATAACTCTATGCTTTGCATTTAATTGTCAGTTAACATCAATAAATCGTGTTTAACGTTATTTTTATAATGGATACTTACACATATGATGAGCAAGTAGATATGATTTTAGTTTATGGCCAATGTCAATTTAATGGTCGCAAAAGCGTTCAAGTATTGAGTCGGGAAAAGTTTCTCGAGTCGGTTGGCACTCGACGATTAGGAAACTCCAAACCGAAATACACAGACCGTGGATGTCAACGTATAAGGCGAACTGTAGAGGTAGAAGAAAGGGTTCTTGAAAGAGTGGCGGAAGACCCTAAAATTAGTACGAAGCTCTTAGGAAATCAATTAGAAGTCTCTAAAGATGTTGTCCATAGGGTAATAAAAGAACAATTATTACACCCATACCACCTTCAAAAAGTGCAAGAGCTTTTACCTGTGGATCACGAAATGCGTTTGACTTTCTGCCAACTCATCCAAAACGAAAGAATCCACGACCCACATTTTAGTAGAAGGATATTATTGACAGACGTTTACTAGATCCGGTATCACTAGCATGCGTAACGATCATGTTTATGCTGAAGAAAATCCGGATGGTCCATCATCAGCATCAATTCAAAGTCAATGTTTGGGCTGGAATTATTGGCGATAACATCATTGGACCGGTAATAATACCAAATCGATGGATTGGAAGGGAAGCTGATGCCTGGAAGAAGGTCGGTGAAGGTCTGGCACCTTACACCGTGTGATTATTTTCTCTGCGGGACATTGAAGTCAAAAGCCTATGCCTCTACAACTGATAGTGAAGAGGAATTACGAAGAAAAATTTGGTTAGCATTTAATACATTAAATAATCGCAAAACAATGGACAGAGTGCAATTTAACGATTTACGACGAGTAAATTTACGTATTTTGAAAAACGGTGGTCATTTTGAACTATTTTTGTAAATATTTCCTACTGAAAACGTTTTTTACCTGTTTTTATTGAGTTTTCATTATTACTATGTTTACTGATATAACTGGTCAACAAAGATTGTGTTAGACCTCCTACTTTATCTTTATTTTTATTACGTAGCTTTTATCTCTGGTTCAGAGGTGGTGATTTTGCCTCTGTTATGTTGTTACTTGTATTTACAGAATGATCAACATTCTGAATAGAAAGTTTTGTATTTATACTGAACCACATTTTATTGATTAAGTTTCTGGGGTGAGCATTTTCCAAAAGAATTTCATATATCACTGTTTTTATTTCTTTTCTGAATGGTTTATCAGTCAATGAAATAGCTCTATGTATTAAATTATTCGTTGTGTTTAGGATTTGAGTCTTAGGGTGGTTACTGTAGTAATGCAAGGTTCTATTGCTACAAGAGGTCTTCTTATACCAGGTTGTGTAAATTTTGTTATTGTTATGGTCTAGTATTGTTTTCAAATCTAAATATGATATTTGTTCTGAGCAGTATCATATAAATGTAACGTACGATGAAGGTGTCACTACAAAGATACTACTGGTATAAAATTAGATACTGTCAATAGAAAATTATATACTGATTTCAGAAAACTGATTACTACCTTGATAAGTTTATATATTTCTGTAGAAGTCTAGATACCACTGATAGAAGACTACCGCTAACGAAAAGACGACTAAATAAATTCCTACCACAGAAATACTACTGGGAGAAGACTATAAACTGAGGAGAGATTACTAGATACTGAAAATGGAACAATACATACTAGTAGAAATCTAAACACTGCTGACACAAAACTTAGTACTGTTGGCAGAAGACCAAATTTTTGCTTATGGAATAGCAAAAATACTTGTAGATACTGCTTGCAGGGATTGCAGGATTTTTTTAATTTTAGTTAAAAGTCGTACTTTATTTTTTGATTCTTATACCTGATAAATGCGTTAACTGTAAAAAACATCCGGCTAGCTGCAGAGGATACGCAATAGCAATGGTGCTGCAAAAAAGAAGCTGCGTAAGAATGCTGAGACTAATATAGTGACGCCTGGAATATCTTATACCAGAGATAATACAAAGCATGCTGAAGATATTTGATCTAATCAATGCTACAACTCGCAAATTAGAAGCCAGAGATGCAAGTACTTTACCCAAAATAAAATAATTATGGACATGCTTGAAATGCCAACAGCAAACGGAATTACCAGAAAAGTATCCTCCAATTCATAGAAATTGAAGACAACTTTTACACTGACTCCGACCACTCAGCCGTCATACTAACATTAAGTGCAAGGATAGCAAAAAGGGCAGCTAAAGCCCAGTTGTGGGTGTTATGAAGATTTACCTCTCCATTACTTATAAAAAGCGATTCATCGGTCCAAAAAACACGTCTAGGAAAATCGTCGTCTTGATCCAAAATCCAATTACAAAAAGCTTTCTTTCAAAATCTCGTCCACCAAGAGTGTGATGGACACTAAGATGGTATGGATACAAACGATTTTCCTTTAATATTCTCCATACTGGTGATTGGCTTAATGTTAAGTCTATCGAAATCCACCGCTTCAAGAACATCAGCAAGCCTTTGTTCTGAGTTAGTTGCACACAACCTTTACGTTTTATTCGGTTCGCCAAACGTTTAAAAACGTGCCGCAACTGTTGCGGAAAATCGGGAAATCTTGCCGCATATCTTCGCGCTACTTTTCGAAAGTTTTCTTTACATTCTCCCAACATCATTAATATGTCAAATGCTTCTTCGTTGGTAAACATACTATTTTTTTAATAATAAATGTCAAATGTGGAAGTCATAGCTTACTTAATCATAAATTATTGAAAAATAATTTTAGCAGGTCCCTTAAGATTTTCATCAGTAGCACTTAAACGTTGCATTAAATCTAAGAAGAGTAAAGCAAAAAACTTTAAATTTTTAAGTTGACGTCATTACCACCAACTTCCGGTCTTACTAGCGTGATAAAAGTTGGTGCATTGGATTCTTCATATACGATTTTATTATTATATTTTTTATTGCAACTTCTTAGGTAATCGTATTTTTGAGAAAAATCCCTGGTACGGATGGTCTAAATCACCCGGTATAATGTATAATTACAACATTTAAAAATTGTTTCAGGTTCAGCAACAATGTCCTCCGCGAGAAGAAATTTCACCGTGTTCCTGCTCTGTGAAAAAGAACGGATTGGATATTCTGTGCGAATTTACAGATCAACAACACATTATGAACGCCATGGCGGTGTTGAAAGGGAAGGCTTACATAATTTTCTATTTGAAATTGAGGCATAACAACTTGAGGAAATTACCCGGATTTGTATTTCTCGGGCTTGATATACGACATCTGACTATTCACAACAGTAGTCTCTCCGTCGTCGAAGAGGCATCTCTGAGTTCGATAGGTAAGTACTTCAAGAACTTACTCGAAATCTGGATATTGACACCCTTCATTTCAGCCAAGGGGATTAAACATTATCGATATTAACGCTTAGATACAAACTTGTGAAATTCTGAATAGTTAATGCTTTTGACGTAATTACTGATTAAATATTCTTGGTATTTAATATATAATAGTTAATGATAATTTATCGGGAAATTTGTTTTAAGTAAATTGACACTTCCAGCACTTGTTTTGAAATATATTTGTAAATTTAACGACCACTAAATTAATGGTCCATATTCATATTTAAAGCTATTCCGAAATTTATCAATAAATTGTACCAACAAATCGATGAAAGTTAATTGATCGTAATTTAAAATATTTTATTATGTTGACGTAATCCGATTAAAAACTAAATCTACTAAAATAATGTCAATTAAAAACTTATTCGCACGCTATTAAAAAAATGTTGAGACTTTTTTGTGAAACATTTTTATGTTTTGCTCACGAAATTTTTCCTTGAACCCTTCAATCAAGGTGAAGCATTTAGTACAAGTTCGAGACAAAGACCAATGTTTGTTACCGCCTCCGTGCAATAAACTTTGATCCTCCCTTTTTAGACAACCTAAGGCCAACACAGCAAAACTTCTCATGTTCAAGTCACGTACCTTCTATCTTTGATCCAAACTTAATACAATAACGATCTTTACACAAAAAGCAAACTCTAAAATAATTTTTAGCTGTGCCAAAAATGTAGTTTCGAAATTTTTGCGATAAGATGTATCGTTTTGGAACTGTTATCTGTTGGTTTTCAGGAAAAATGCTGACACAGCTGGACGTCTCCCAAAATAGTCTAAGTGCTGTGCCATCGACGGCGTACAAAAACCTCCATCAACTGCTTATCCTGAACATGAATCATAACAAGATTTCGAGTTTACATCCCAAAGCGTTCGAAGGACTAGATACGTTGGAAATACTAACGCTGTACGAAAATAAGATAACTAACGTCGACCAAGAGGCCTTTGTTGGACTCGAAAAGTAAGTATAAATATTTCAAAACATATTTCTTTTCTTACACGAACGATAACGATTTATTATAATTACATTTCATTTCCCTTCACATTTTTTATTGATTGTTTCGAGTATAAATAGACACAAAGTTCTTTGTCGGTTGCGTAATGAATTATTCAGACGTCAGCTTAGCGTTAAAAATTAATCGCTACCCCGCCTTTAGAATCGAAGCAAAGAGTCCAGTACTTTTTAAAGGCGTAGGATTTATTGACTTTTTCAACGTCCATAAATTTTCATCGAAGATGGGTCGAAAAGCGAAGCGAATCGGAAAACGATTATGAGGAAAATCTGTGTTCCTATCGGAGCCGTGATTTATTTTGGTTAATTACCAGAATCAAATTAGGTGTTAAGTGGGGTTTGGGTAATTGTAATTTAAGTGTGGGAAATAAATTGTAGTTTTAAGTAAAGATACAAAAGCTTTCTATTTGTTATCTTTATTTATTGATTTTATTACCTACACATTTCTGATATACATATCATGATTCTACATTTCTGTTGTTAAAATGCGAATGAAGGTGCCGAGTTGATTTTATAAAATCGTTATTATACAGGGTGTTCCGTGACTCGACCGACAAACTTATACCATATATTCCCGAGGTCATTACGATCAAAAAATGGTATATCACCTATAGGTGAATTCCTCTTTGTTTCAGAGATATCGAAATAAAAATGAAAAAGAACAAAATGAAAAGAAAATTTATTTTCTAAATATGCAGCTATCCTTCGTGTTATAGAATGTTGCTAGTTAATTTCTTTGGCGAATTAGTAGCTTCAACTATCCTCTCAATCAACTCTTCGCGTGTCTCCGGTTTACCATTACTACTATACGTACTAGATTTGAGGCAACCCCAAAGAAAATAATCTAGAGGCGACATGTCAGCTGACCGAGCTGGCCAATGTGCAGGACCACCTCGTCCTATGCACCTTTCCAGAAAATTTTGATTAAGAAATACCGTGACTTGTCTCCCAAAATGTGATGGTGCCCCATCTTGCTGGAACCACATGCCACGACAAGCTTCTAGAGGACTATTTTTTATGTAATTCGGCAATTCTTCTTCTAAAAAATGAAGGTAAGTTTCTGCACTAAAACGTCTTTCAAAAAAATGAGGCCCAACAAGTTGATTGTTTAACAAGCCGCACCACACGTTGACGGAAAAACGATATTGATTGCTTCATATGGGTTTTGATCCGTCCAGATGTGAGAATTACGTGTGTTGTTAATACTATTCCTTGTAAACTAGGCCTCATCTGTAACGCAGGAAGTAAATGCTGGACTTTGTATAAATGATAGAGATAAAGTCCATCATAGTGCAGAATTCTCCATACGTTGGTTTTAGCAATTCCCGTTGTATGGGATATTCTACGAATACTGGTAGAAGGACTTTGCTCAACTGCATTTAAAACTGCTTCAGACAGCATAAACATCATTAATTTATCAAACGTTAAATCGTCAAGACTAACTATCACTTTTTTAATTCCTTCGATATCTCCGAAATAAAGAGGAATTCATCTACAAGTGATATACCATTTTTTTATCGTAATGACCCCCGGAATATATGGTATAATTTTGTCGGTCGAGTCACGGAAGAACCTGTAGAACTAACATCTTCATTAAACCAGCTTTAAATTGCTTTTTTTAAACTCCTCTTAAAGTTACAATTTTTCAGCATTCATAGGCACGTTTAATAAATCAAAACAAGTATTTACAAAATATTCAAGACATACTCTATACAAACGATAGAATTCTGAAGATTACTGTAAAAATGAACAAGGTTACAACCCACCTAATAAACACTTATGCTCCTATATACACCTGATGCCCAAAACCACCCAAAAAGCCGTACATTTTACGGTACGCCTCACAATAGCGATAAGGTAATAATGTTCGGAGTTCTTAATGCAATCGTAAACCACCAGACAGAGATCAAAAAAGATTGAGTGACAGCTGGCAGTCCACTTTTCAAGAGATATTTCAGAGGCAGACCTTAGTAGGAACAATAGTCTATTGTTCCTACGGTTCCTAAGGTTGCATTAGATTTGGTTTGAAATGTTCTTTACTTCACTATGATATTTCAATTCGTTCTTAAGATATACTTTATTAAATTTCCATTGTTAGATCTATAACATTCTAGTATCCAGAATTAGATTTAAAAGACAACGATCTTATGGATTAAAAAATCTTTATAAAAATTCTTTCATCATTATATCTCAATTCATTCTTAAGACACAATTTTTAAAATTTTTGTTCTTTAATTTCACAATACATGTTTGACTTGAACTGCTGATGTTGCGAACTTGGTCTCAAACGCCTTCGTAAAAAAATGCAAAAAATGCAGGAAATTGATTATATTAACCATTTTGTGTAACACCTTGACTGCACCGAATCTAACTACATAATTTAGTAATGTTCACCGTCTCATAAGGAATTGTCAAGCATTCTTCGTATTTCAAGTTATGGAGTTGCCTTCACGTGCGGAAAATGTTTCAGTAGTGCGCAGCAGTAGTGAGTCCATCATGATCATGGAATAATCAAAAGTTAACCTGTTGAATATAACAAAGCTCATAGTACTTTTAGAGAAACTAACTCGCCTTTATCGACATCTCCTCGTCTAGAAAAATATTTTCTTATTGTGAACTAAATGCTTGACGGGGAAGCGACATTATGACAGAATGCCAGCAAGCTTACCCCGTCACTCAAGTGCTCGACCCAACTGCTAGAAAAGCAACCGCCATCAAAGTGTTTTTATTGCTACATCCGACATTTGCACAGATACTGCCCGCACTGATAATCTCCGTGTATTCGCGTCCTCGCTAAACTGATTGGGAATTGGGGTTTCCTCCAATGCCATTATTTCACGGGGTTCTTCTACATCACTTACGTTCAGAAACTGACGACGTCGCTAGACCATAGGTCATTGCGCAACCGATTTTGCATCGATTTTATGATTGAGACAATGAACAAACCAGAGACAAGTACTCCATGTTGCTCAATATACATACATAGCAACACAATTTCCAATAATAGCTAATCATAGTCATTTACGGCTTTTACAAGAACATATGACGCATCGCATTAGTTTCGGGTTATGCCAAATCAAAAGTCTATGCATAATGCATACATCACATTTCAAAAGATAATACACCGCCGAGATTTCATTCTATATCGATACAAACGCCCAACACTGTCAAATATGTTTGGTATTTTCCTCGACAGTATGCCACTATACAGGGTGTGTCAAACGTCTGGAATATAGCCAATAACTTTGCCATTTGTAGTTTTAAAGAAAACTGTTTCAAATAAAAGTTTCTTTATTAATCGTGGCGCATTTTTTGGCGATATTTGCTTGTTTGTAATTTTTTTGTTTCGTTACTATGGCAACCAACATTGTTATTTTAAATGGGATGCATATGTTTTTCTTGCATATTTTGATAGAGGATGATAGAGGTTGTATAAGAAAAAAATCGAGAAAATATGCATTTTTTGAAAATATTATTTCAGCAAATTACAATCAAAGTAGGCGCCGAAATAACGCCGTTGACAGCTTTAAATGTCAAAAAATGACAGTTTCAACAATTATGAAAAATTAATGATGTATGGGTACGGTAACACACATTTAATATAGTTTCGTCATTGGTAGCTGTCATCGGTCGTCCACTTTTTGGAAGGTTTTTACTGTGGATTGTGTAATTTGTGTATCCTGGTAAATATTATTGAACAGTATGCAAACTTCAGTTTGAGTGCGTTTTCTATCACCGTACCCCTTCGTCCTTAATATTTGGATTCTTTGTCGTTCGCTTAATTGCGCCATATTTGCTTAAACTGTCAGTTTTTTGACATTTAAATCTGTCAACGGCGTTATTTCGGCGCATACTTTGATTGTAATTTGCTGGAATAATATTTTCAGAAAAAGCATTTTTCTCGATTTTTTTCTTAACCTAAGTGTCCACTTGCGAGAAATGCTCTCGAGAGAAGCTATCGAGAGTATATTTTCTGGTAGACACGTATCTGAGAGTAACTATCAGAGAGTCCCCACAAACTCTCGGAGAGTAAACACGTTGAGATTTGAACTCAAGTGGACACGCACAATTTATGAGTAACGTGAGAGTAACTGTCAAAAAACGAACACGGTTCGAATTTTGCTGCGAGTAGCTGCGAGTTTTCTCAATATAACACGTTTAAAGATAACACCTAAAAGCAAATGGTCCCAAGAAGAAATATTGGAATTAATTGAAGTGTATGAAGAAAATTCAATTCTTTGGAATATCAAATCTAATGAACATAGAAATCGGGAAGCGAAGGATGCAATTTTAACAAGTATTGGACAGAAATTTAAACGGGATTTGTACCATTAGCAATAGTAACTTCTGACAACATAATTTGGTGTTCTGACAGTAAAATTAAGTCTTCTGCTAAAAGTATTTGATTTTTAGTAGTAGTGTGTAGTCTTCTGTAAGAAGGATGTGCTTCATATGCAATATCTAGTTTTTCACTAGCAATACTTAGTCTTCTGCCAGGAATATCTAGTCTTTTGCAGCAATATCTAGTCTTCTACCAACAGTATTTTGTCTTTTGGTAGTAGTGTGCAGTCTTCTGTAAGAAGAATCTGCTTCATTAGCAACATCTAGTCTTTCATTAGTAGTACTTAGTCTTCTGCCAACAATATCTAGTCTCTTTCAGCAATTGAGGCGTTTAAGTTTTTCTTTAAAACCACAAATGGCGAAGTTTTGGCTATATTCCAGACATTTGACACACCTTTATATTGTATTTTATTACATGACATTTAATCTTTATTAAATTTCCTCGTTGTAAGCAATTACAGTAAAGAGAGATTTTGATCTGTGTAGTCTATCTTGTAGATACTGGAGTTATACATAACATCAAATTAATGTTATCGGGACTAGTATATTAAAAGCAAAAATATGCATGAGTGCCCCAAAAGATATGTCGCATCTGTATAGTACTAAGTATCGAGTGTTATGGCAACAACCTTAAAATCTGTAATTGAAGGGACATACTCCGTATGTTAATGTTATTCAGTAAATCGACATTTCGTCTGTAAGAGGAAATTTTTCTTTGTAAGATAAAGAAAAAAGAGAATTAAAATAATCTCTTTCCTATCATTTCAGCAATAACATTTTATTGAACTGACGATCTCGCTCTTTGTGAGAAGGAATCCCACTCCGGAAATTTTGTGATCTTATTAAACTTTAGATTACAAACATGTGAACCATTTTTTTCTTTAATAATCATTTCACGAAATAAATTTGTAATTTAAATGTTTGGTAGTTTAATTATGTATCAATCTAACTATTGTGTATAACTAGGCCACAATTTACGTAAACAACTGTAGTAGAGGTCGAGGAGAGCAAACAAAACGCAGATTCAAAAATTAATTTACTGAACAAGTCAGTGTAAAATCGTTTGGAAACGTTCGTGTGTCGTAATCAATAAAAAGAATGGAATTCGAAATTTTAGGATAAACCTATTTGAAACCCCAATTGTAATCGCGTCGCGTTTACTTTGGTCCTGGGCTGCAATTTGATTTTGACGTAACGCTGAAAACGCTGGTACGTGCACAACCAATTCGCCGTAGTAGTTTTTCAGCAACAGGCTCCTTGTTGAATAATTCAGAGGCCAATTTCGAAAGCTCAAATGACGCCGTCAATTATTCAGTGCGTTTGCAGACGAAAGCATTTATGCCATCCACCAACGATGCGATCGATACATCAGAATACAGTCTGCCAACATTTCTACATTTATTTCAATTAATTTCTTTTTCCAATATTATTTTGCAAATATTCATAAATTTTCACCAATTATATTTGTTTTAGTTTAATTATTTTTTTCTTTTTTAGGAAACTAAAACGATTGAATTTAGGTGGTAATGGTTTAACAGCAGTTCCACAAAAAGCTCTCGCCATTCTGGACATGTTAAAAAAACTAGAGATGCAAGAGAACAAGATTGGAGAAATCCGAGAAGGTGATTTCGAAGGTAAACCCGCTAGTACTTTATTACGAAACCTACTTAGTGCGTGTCCATATATTCTCTTATTCTTTTCTCGCTCTTTTTATACGCAGGTCTACGAAATTTGGATTCGTTGGGTTTAGCCCATAATAAACTACGAGTTGTGCCCGCTAGAGTTTTCTCTCATTTAACCCTTCTCAACTCGCTCGAACTGGAGGGTAATAACATTGAAAATATCGATCCCGAAGCATTTTCTGGATTGGAAGGTTAGTAGTAACTTAATTAAATTCAATTTCTTTAAAATATAGTGTGGTGGTTGAGACTTCGAAAATTCGATTCAAACGTTATTATAGTGGTAGGTAATTAGGAACATTCGCTGAGAATTCAATTATGAATTCCTTTAATTTGCGGAGTCTCCGATATCGAGTTCGCAATCGGAAGGTAGCGATATTTTGTAGTGTAGAACTGTTTGAATTTAATTCATTGGAGTACTCCTGTATTACTGTTGAGTGAATGTATGGTTAGATATATATCTCCGTAGTGAGGTAACGGTATATTTTGCCTCCTGATTTGATTTGTAATTCAATCAATTTAAGTAATAGAGCACAGAAGATGGATATGAAATAAGGTCTTAGAGTATGCGTGTCTATTGGACAACAATTTCTAGTGCATTATTCGCTATGCTATTCTAATTATAGTACAAATGTCATTGATTTAGAGGTAAATGTCAACTCGAATACATTCATAAGCGCAATGAATAACAAGCGGTTGAACTTAAAGAAACCGAATTAAAATTTTTTTTCAGTTCAAATAAAAAGATTAGATAATTTTTATTTACATGACAACCTCTATATTCAGAAAGGGTTAACAGAATTTGAATCATTCAGTGCGATACGTCTATACCAATGGGCAAAACATTATTTTCTTTTTGCCCCAACAGAAATAAAATAATTTTGAGTTATACTTTGTAAAGTAATTATAGAACTTTCGCAAAGTTTCTCGCATGTTACGAGCTAGAAAAAGCTTGTTCGCAGTTCAACTTCAAAAAAAAAAACTCATGTAGTCAACTCATGAGAGCTAAATGTTGTACGCACGAAAACCAAAATCTTTCTGAAGAGCAACTCCTAAAATATTCCCGCGTTTGACAGTAGCGATGTTAATAAACAACTTAGCATGTCTCATTCCAGGAGAACTGGTCCACAGTAGGCGAAGTCTCTCTTATGTCTTAGTCTCTCCTATGTTTGGCCATTGCAAATGATATACCAACTGCTGCACTTGCGGCCCCACAAACGCTTTAGTGCTGCCTTCTCGTGCTAACTCATCTGCCGCTTCATTCTTATCTGTATGGCGCCTCTTATTCTAGAACTAATGCGCAGGGTGGTGCTGTCGCGCTCTTTGTCAAACAGGGCATCGATTTTAAAGAGTTAGTTTGTTGTGATTGTGTTTGTGTTGAAAAGACCTTTGAATATGCCTAGGGATGCAACATCGCTCATAAAAACATCGATATTAGAACATCGATGTTTTCCAAAAGTGAAACATCGATGTCGAAAACATCGACGTATTATACCGATACATCGATGTTTAAAAAAAATATTCAGTGGCTGAATTTTTATTATAAGAATTATCATAATAATCAACACTATTTGGACCGCGTTCTGCATCACTTGACTAAGCGACAAATAATAATAATAATAACTTTATTATCATAAATTTGATCACTAAAACTAGAGACAAAATGATGACGATTTGTGTAAAAATTTTTGAAGAAAATAATCTAGAGTTTGATTTTGTACTTTTAAACTGGTTTTTATTTTATATAGAATTCAAGTCTAACCAGTTGCGACCCTTGGCCATCTTCAGTGACTCTACAAATAAATTAACATCTGTCATCTTATCCATTTTACAAACAAGTTTCTTAATATTTCTTTTTGTTTTGTTAAAAAACATCATATATCAATGTCGAAATCAGATTATTAGTTACTAATTTACAAAATTAAAATTTGAAAAGTTGTAAAATGAAATTAAGGACGAAGTGTTACAAGTTTACAGATTAAAATTTAAGAACGCTCTTTTTTAACGAAAGAAATATTAAGAAACTTCGGAAAAAATCAAGAATCATCATGTGGCTTAAAAATTGACGACTTTTTTTAATCAATGTGAAATGACCCAAAAAACACGTTAAAAATATAAAGAAAGTGCGGAAAAGTGACTAAGACTAGATTAACTTCAGTTATAAAACTTCTATTACATGATAATTAACTTCAGGTTTAAAATGTCAACCTCACTTTTGACATATTTGTAATCTTCATCAAAAATCCTTTAAAATGAGTGCAAACACGACATATTTATCTTCAATATTAATGAAGTTATGGTCAACTTCCGGTTAAGAATGTCAATTTTGACATATTTGTAATCTATGATAAGGTTATTGGGTGTAGCGATCGGTATAAGAAAAAAAGAAAACTAAATTTTTCTTTGCTATATTTCGAAACAAATTGTTTCTTCTACAGGCAAAAAACTGTGAACAAATGTATCAAAATTAACACTCAAACCATCAATGGCTTACATAAAAAGGAAGAAACTTACAGGTTAGTTGATAAGCGGCACGATAGCGGAACATTTCAACGGTCCACCAAGAAACATAGCATCATTAACACCCAAAAAGGGTGACTCGAATTAATAAATTAAAATTAGGACACTTAAAATACAAACTAAAATAACTGACGTTACAAAAGTAAAAATTTTATGATGACTGAACATGGCGAAGAAACCAGTTCTTAAAAATATATTTTTATTTTTAAAGACTGCGCGATAGACAAAATCACAACGATACTGTCGAAAAACATATTTTAAATTTTAATTTTTTAATTTAAAAAATTAATGAATCACTAACGTTGGTGTTGTCACTTAATACTCTTTCCCTTCTCCCCTTTTCCCAATGAAATAAATACGAGTAAAAACTACTTAAATTATTTGTATCTGTTTTAAAATTGACCGTATTATCATCAGTGATATTAATGTGGTACATTTCCAAAAATAATCTACCGTAATAATTAGGATCACAATCAACTATCGACACATTATCAAAATCAAAAGTATGGTTACAGTTTATCATATGACTGGCCAAAGCACAGTGAGTTTTTTTCGTTTTAAAATCACTCCTATGTGAACTAATCCTAATGATGGCTTGAAGAGGACAGCGTCTCTGTTGGACACCAGAAATCAAACTTTACTGAGAAAGGTCAACAGCTTTTCTAATAACAAAGAAATTACAATACAAAGAAATTTAAATAATTTAATTAAAAAACTTTATGATGAAAAATCCATAAATGAACATGAACACAAACTTATATGTACCAAACATTCAGTCTTATGTAAAGCATACTTCCTTCCTAAGGTCCATAAACCCAATACTCCATTAAGACCCATTATATCAGCTTGTGGTTCAACCGTGTATAACCTGTCAAAGTTCTTATCTGACATGCTAACCACTGCCTTAACCTTTAGAGGACCGGGACCACCACTTAAGTGGTGGTGTATGTTTTCAGTACTTAGTATATGATAAATATATCATATGAAGTACATTTTGTATCGATTTTCTTCAGACAATATGTTACCTAAAATCCCGGCCCGCTAAAGGTTAAGTAATGCTACATCTTACAATATAAAAGACACCTTCGATTTTGTCAGTCAAATAAAAGACTGTCACATCCCTAAGAACTTTATTGTCGTTTCACTTGACGTAATAAGTCTTTTTACGAACATCCCACTGGATTTGGTCCTTAATATTGTGAAAGACAAGTGGAATTTAATTGATGATCATTGCAGTTTTAATTTGGAAACCTTTTGTATACTTTTAAAGTTTGTTTTTGATAATACTTACTTTTCGTTTCAAGATCAGATTTATGTTCAGAAGTTTGGTACTCCTATGGGTCTCCTATTAGCCCCATCTTGGCGCTGATGGTAATGGATTTTGTTTTAGATGTGATTCACAAATTGGATTTTCAGTTACCGTTTATAAAGAAGTTTGTTGATGACATTATCACCAGCGTTCCTAGTGATCGTGTTGACTACCTTCTTGATCACTGTCACTGTGGAAACTGAAACTGATAGCTGGGTCCCTTTTCTCAATTGTAAAGTCATACGTGAGAATAATTCTGTGATTTGTGATTGGTACATCAAACCGACATATTCGGGACGTTACATAAACTATTTCTCCTCACATTCATTTAACCATAAAATTAATACCTTACGTGGTATGAAGAATACAGTACTAAGAATTTGTGATGACGGGTTTCAATACAACGCACTGTTAAAGCTAAAAAGGATTTTTATTGGCAACAGTTTTCCTAAGCACTTAGTTAACAAGATTCTTTTCTCTTCTTCCAATAACATCTCTCAACCAACTGTTAAGAGTATTTTTGATATACCACCTACCAGACAATCTAAATTTAGTAAAATTATGAAAATCCCAAAGATGTATGATAAAATTAAAAAAATAATTGGACCGCATCTACCACCTGATAGAAAAATAGTTGATTACTACCCTTACAGGATATGTTGTTGTTATAGTAGCATCAAAGATAAAGATCCCGTGATGTACAAATCTAATGTCATCAATCGTGTTAATTGTAATGAGTGTAATGGTTGTAAACTATGTTTTTCGACAGTATCGTTGTGATTTTGTCTATCGCGCAGTCTCTAAAAAGAAAAATATATTTTTAAGAACTGGTTTCTTCGCCATGTTCAGTCATCATAAGATTTTTACTAACGTCAGTTATTTTAGTTTGTATTTAAATGTCCTAATTTTAATTTATTAATTCGAGTCACCCTTTTTGGGTTTTAATGATGCTATGTTTCTTGGTGGACCGTTGAAATGTTCCGCTATCGTGCCGCTTATCAACTAACCTGTAAGTTTCTTCCTTTTTATGTAAGCCATTGATGGTTTAAGTGTTAATTTTGATACATATGTTCACAGTTTTTTGCCTGTAGAAGAAACAATTTGTTTCGAAATATAGCAAAGAAAAATTTAGTTCTCTTTTTTTCTTATACCGATCGCTACACCCAATAACCTTATCATAGTTGTCAATTTTTGCGATCAAAAAACTCCATCTAACATATTTGTAATCGTCGTGAAAAATCCTTTAAAATGAGTACAAACATGTTATATTTAATTCCAATATTAATCGAGATATAAGCAACTTCCGCTTGGAAATGTCAATGTCATTTTGACATATTCATAATTTTTATATGTCTAATATTTGTC